TATCGGGGGCTTTGTATGCGTAAATACAAAGTGGGGGGAAAAGGGGAGGGGGGAGGGGATGAGAAAGAAGGAGAGATAAAGTGATTCTGAATCCAGAGAGAAGGAATGAACGAATTGTGATGGGTAAAACATTTGGCACTGTTTTACTTTCGGTCCTTCCGAACACTCATCTATATATATATATATAGACAGAGAGAGAGAGAGAGAGAGAGAGAGAGAGAGAGAGAGAGAGAGAGAGAGAGAAAGAAAGGGGTGGGGGTTAAGAGACGGAGATACGTTAAAGGTAGAATTGAAAGTAAGAAAGTTGCAGCAAGTGAAAGAGCAAGAGAATAAGAGAAAGTGAGAAAGATGTACAATTACATAGCGAGTAAGCAATACAGGGCATGTGTGTGTGTGAGAGAGAGGAGAGAGAGAGAGAGAGAGAGAGAGAGAGAGAGAGAGAGAGAGAGAGAGAGAGAGAGAGAGAGAGAGAGAGAAAGTCGAAAGAGAAAAAGGAGAATCATATTGACGAAGATGTTTTTTACTGCATATATTGGCAACGATTCAGGGACAACTGGCGATGACCCTCATGTTGACTCACTAGTTTGCAGTGGCAGCCCCATAATCCATGAACTGTTCTGCATGCGTTTACACTAGCTGTCTGCAACATAGGGCGCCCCCCTCCGCGCCCCTTCCACACCAACGTGGGCTGGACGGAGGTTTAGAGGGGGCGTCAAACAATATTGAAACTTGAGTCCATTTGGGTCCCCATCCCATCCTATCACTAGCTAAAATAATAGACTCAACCTGACCTTTAAAACTGGGGGGATTAAGTAGACTTGTACCTCCATTTTTACTTGTAATAACATCTATACCAGGGATTCTCGACCTCCGGGTCGCAACCTTTTTTGTGTGGAACGACCCTTTCACAGAGGTCGCCTAGGGCCATCAGAAAACACATAGTGATTGAAGTTATGAAGAAAAATTATTGTCTGAGGGTCGCCACAACATAAAGGTTAGTTGTGTATCCTTTACAGGACGTTGCAGAACCAACCCCAACAGCCCCTGGTTGTTGTGTGTTTTTTCTAGGCAAATTTACGTCCAGTAGTTTGTCATTGCTCTCTGGACGGTTGGCTTTCTTGATGCCACTGTCGAAACCAACGCAAGGCGCATGGCCCGCAGCTGGGATCGAACCCGGCATCCCGGCATTACGAAGCGTTCGCATCGACTTAGCCACAGAGCCGACGCCACAACATGAGGAGACTGTATAAAAGGGTTAATAAGCATGACATAAAATGCTAGACACTATGAGTGTGTTGTCATGGATGTGGTGGGTTAACAGGCGCAGATATCACAGCCTAACTGTACACTACAACATAACCTGCCAACTGCCCTGTTACTGGCAAGTACCGAAAAATGAGGAGGGAGAAGATCTTCTTATAGAATGTCCGAAAACGATCAAACGCTGGAAATCGCTGACGTTTTTAATCTGCATGAAACCATCAACTTCTTTCTTATGTGTGGCAAAGTATCGAAGTCTGTGCTTCTGGGTCATGAACACAGTTTCATAATTCCAACATACAAGGCTTGATTTAACCAGAGACAATTCGACAGAATTCTGATCTGCGTTTATTTCGAGAATACCTGGCTGTTCAAGGAAAAATACCAAATTACTGAACGTGAAATTGGTTAAAAACAAAAAAAAAAAGACAGCCAATAGATGTTGCGGTTGGCTTGCCAGGTCCTCTGAACAAAAAGCAGCTAAAATAAACATGTAACTGTGTACATATAAAATGTATTTTGTGTCTAATGTGCTTTTGAATAAGCTTTCTGGGTGACCTATTATTGTTAGTATAGCATTGTATAATGCTCGTTGAATCTGTTTTCATCTATTTAATTTAGATCTTCTTTGCTCTTCCTATGCATCTCTTCTTCGTTTTCTTTCTCTTTTTCTGCTACTGCTGCTTCTTCATCTTCATTGTCATCTGTCTCTACTCTCTCTCTCTCTCTCTCTCTCTCTCTATCTGCATTTATCTTTCTTTTCTTCCCACTTTTTGGGGAGGGGTTGGGAACGGAGGGGAGGGGGTGGGGTGGGGGGGGGGGGGGTTCAGCAAAGCCGCAATAGTTTAGACTTCTGAGACGACACAGCCGAATTGGTCCTGAAAATTGAATGACATTGATAGCCTTTCTGACTAACTTTGGAAACCCACAGTCTCACCGCGGTGACATCATCTGCTTCTCTCTTTCGATAAACAGCAGCTGTCATACACACACGAGCGCGCCTGCCAAGATAGTTTCAGCAATGTCTATACTCCAGCAATGTCTAAAAATTATTGATTTCTGGAACCCAGTGTCTCTATTCAATTTGCTGTTTTCAGCGGTTTTTGAACGGTCTGCTTTATTATTTCTCCCAATCCAAAATGAACGCAGGAGAATCCATTTCGAGGCACTGGATTTTATTCTACATAGCTCTCTGTCTGTCTGTCTGTCTGTGTGTGTGTGTGTGTGTGTGTGTGTCAGCAGAAGAGCCTACCGCCAGCTGGGAGCGTTGCACAAAGCACGAACTCCATAGCCCAGTAACGACTCCATAGACTCTATGTGTGAGCCGACCTGCATAGTTCCGTGAAACGAACCGACATACTTTAAGGCGCGACGAAAACGGCTTGCTAACTTCGCCACTGGGTAGTTTAATTTTATACGACCACGTCTCGTTGGCTTCGAGATTACGTATGGAATTCCTATTCATCTCTAGGGGTTTCCCTAGACAGCATAATATTATACGGAGGCGGTTGGGAGATGGGGGGAATTAGGGCTAGTTTTATATAATTAGCCACTACTTCCTAAGCCTAACCCTTATCTTCCTAAGCTATGGGACGTTTTGGGCATTTCCCTACCAAATCTCAAAGCCGACGAGATGTGGTCGTATAAAGTTAAAGTACCGCCACTGTGATCCCCGGGACCGACTGTGCATATTCATCTGAAACCAGGCTGTTAGTGTTGTCAGATGTGTCTCGGCCTCCCATTTAGCATATGCTCACTATAAGCCTTTTGCTGTCGGGTGGACCTCATACCCCCCCCCCCCCCCCCCCCCCCCCCCCCACACACTTTCAGGACCAGCCCAACATTGCTTAAAGCCACAGATGCTGACTATCCAGGGAAGCACCCATTTAAGTTAAGCAGAGTCTAAGTCCAAAGAAGTTAAAACAATAACACTATTGAGCAGAATAAGTCAGACTAACAGTTCTGATATAATGAGTTACCTTATCAAGTCTCAGCGACAGCAAACAGACACAAATGTGCGCTGTCTGTGGATCACCCGATGAACGTTGCGTGGTACCAAAAGAGTTAATTCCCGTTTTCCGTTGATCTGTAGTTTCTGGTGCAAGGAAATTCTATTTATGTTGCTCTCATGGTTTGTCAGCGTGTCCTATACACTACCTACGTCTTTTTCTCACCTCCTGCTTCACAGTCAATGTCCTTATGAATACAACAGTGAAGGCTTCTTAGTCAATGTCCTTGTGAATACAACAGTGAAGGCTTCATAGCGCTCATTTGTCGCCGGTCAGCTGACTACTACGACGGAAACGAAAACAACTATAAATTATAATTTTGTTTTTTGTAATGCATTGTTGTCTATAGAATGGAGGTCACGTGTAGTGCAGTCCTTTATATATTTGGTAATATTACCTAGCGAGGTCACAGTCTCTTCCCCTGACCTTTCCACTGCTGTCTGAAAGCCACATAAATGGTCTTTTCCTAAATCGTGAGTCACGGAATTCAAACCCACATATGTTACAACTTGGATCGTGAAATGCTTTCTTTAACTTACCTCAATACCACAGAGCTACACTAAATTAGAAAGCATTTTATGTGTGACTTCATCATCACTAAGTGCCTTGCTGAATAGCTTGGGCAATCAGGCTTTTCCACAAATTGCGACAGCAGGTGTCAGTTCGTATGCTGACACACCTCTGTGGCATGACAGCAGGTGTCAGTTCGTATGCTGACACACCTCTGTGGCATGACAGCAGGTGTCAGTTCGTATGCTGACACACCTCTGTGGCATGACAGCAGGTGTCAGTTCGTTTGCTGACACACCTCTGTGGCATGACAGCAGGTGTCAGTTCGTATGCTGACACACCTCTGTGGCATGACTACAGGCTGTCAAGAATCGTCGTCTCACATTGTCTTCGTCTGTTTCTTCTTCCATAGATCTTTCCAGTGGTTACACATGTTGGAGTTTTCCCACGTCTTATATCATGACTAAACAATCATGACTGTCCGTGATGTTTGTGAAAAGTTTTCTTGTCTTCGCCTCTTTCAAAACATCTGTTTTTTTTTTTTTTTTTGTTTTTTTTTTTTTTTTTTTTATTGTTGCTGTCCACGGAATTCTTATGATTTTTCTGCAGAAAGACATCTCCGGGGATTCAGAAAAATGTTTCTCTTGTTTATTAATTATCCAGGATTCACAGCCGTGTGTTAAAACTGTATACATATGATGCCTTTGAACACATGGATGACATGCAGTTATAAAAATTTTTTTAAAAATCTAATTAGACATCTACTGGTTTGTAAGAGGTTAGACAATTCTATCTACTTGTCTAGGGCCTTGTTTCTGAGAGATAAAAGGCTGCAGTAGGATCCATTAGATGCTTCTGTTTGGTTTCTATTACTGCTTTGGTATATACCTTCGGCGCTACATTGTCGCGTGCAGCGCCTTATTAGCTCAGCTGTAGCGAGTCAATGGCATAACCGATACATGACTGGGAAGAAACTGTTGGCGGACACCTGGGGATTTAAATGGGCCGTGAACGTCTGCCCGAAGAACACTGCTATAGAGAACTGTGTGTTTTGCTCATGTCATTTTGCACATCAACGTGTGTATGAGTTGCAAATACTGTAAGTGCCAACAAATATAGAGCGATACTTCAGATTAAAGGTGATCCGGCTAAAAGATGATTAGGCTAGTGAAGACATGTTATGATAGTTTGGTTTCAACCTCGGCTAATGAATCTGGATGA